TAACTGAGAGCTTCTCCCAGTTAACATTTTACAAATGACTGTTAAGAAGACCTTTTGCTTTTATGTGTTTAGGTTCTGACCCTCGTGGGAATAAGTCATTATTAAGACTGTTAACTTTTAAATTTGATTCATTTGGTTTGCAGTCACTGTTTGAACTTACCTATAATTGTTTCATTCCTAGAAGTTTTGAGTCTTGTATATTGTGGGTTATAGAGCTGGGGTGGTTAGGGGAATGAGCTCTGACCTCCTGATGGTGTTTAGTTTCCCTCCCTTTGCTCTGTACAGGTTACAGTGAATAGTGATTAAAGTGAAACGAGACAGTTTTATGCCCTTTCAGCATTAGTTTTAAGAGTGCCTAGAAGGTAATTTAGGCAAGCTGTTTATCAAGTAGGCTGTGTCTGTTTGCAGAGCTAGTTGCAGCCTTTAATGTGGAATATAGAGGAGTATGCCTGTCACACAGGGTGGTCAGACTCAGTCACTGCTCTCCCGGGGGAAGCCATGGGATCATGGGATGCATTTGACCTAACCTAGTACTTAGCCTTTGGAATTAATGTAGGAGCAGGAGATTTTTCTCAATCAGTTAATGCTTCTGTAAAGCATTTGATCTTTACCTTAACATCTATGCCTTAAGAATGAAATCTATTTTAGATTTCAAGGTCTTTTACTTGCCCTGAGCACTGAACAGATGAACTATAAATCTAGTATGTGTTAAAGCTTTGTGAATTTATCTTTTAATGCTCTTTTCCCCCCTTAAAGTCATGTCTTCTCCTTAACTTCTTTTTTTGGGGGAGTGCTTTGAGACAGGGTCTTGCCATGTAATTCAGGCTGTATTTGACACTGTGCTCAGGCTGGCCTTGAACTTGTGGCAATCCTCCTGCCTCAGCCTCCCAACCACTGGGATTACAGGTGTATGCCACCATACCCAGCGACTTTAACTTATGTTGGTGAAAGAAGAAAGATTACTCAGGTTCTTGGTTTCATTTCTTTTTCTTCTGTCCTTAGGTGACATGATGATAGTAGTCATAGGGTGGTGGTGGTAGGGATTGGATATGGAAATTGTTAATTGCTGACAGATACCAAGTGAATTGTAAAGAAAACATTTTTATTTTACTTTTTTTTTGTGGTACTGGGAATTGAACCTGGGGTCTTCTCATTGAGCCACCTCCCAGCTCTCTTATTTTGAGGCAGGGTCTTGAGTTGCTAAGTTGTCCAGGCTGGGCATGAACTTGCACTCCTCTTGCCTCAGCTTGCCAGAGTGCTGAGATTACCTTTTTCCTTTTGTTAGCATTGAAGTGAAACTTCTGGACATGATGGCACATGCCCTGAAAGTCCATCAATCTGGGAGGCTGAGTCAGGACGATCACAAGTTTGAGCCATCCTGAGCAATTTAGCAACTTGGCAAGACCAGGTCTCAAAATAAAAGGAAACAAAGTGGGGAGGACTGGGGATATATATAGCTCAGTGCAGAGGCCCTGGGTTCAATCCCTGGGGCACAGAAACAAAATAACAAAACAACCCAAACAAGTTACAAAAAACAAAATAAAAAACCCTATATTTATGAAAACACGCCTGTTTTTCCAGCGTGTTGAAATTATGTGCAGCATCATTATAAACATGAGTTGGCACTGTATAAATGCAGCACTGCTCTGATAGGCTATAGATATGCCTCAGACCACACACTTCAGTCACAGAGAGAGCTCTGATTTTGGGGTCTTTGATGCAGGGCCTGATCTGGACCTAGATAAAGTAGAAACTGTTTTAGATGGCTGAATAGCATGGAGGTGTTTATAAGCAAGAACACTAGTAATTGATAGCTTTTATTGAGCACTTTATTATGTTCAAGGCATTGTGATCGGGATCTGGCTACATATTTTTGTCCTTACAGTAACAGTATGAAGGACAAGTTTCCTATTCTTATTTTACAGATGAAGAAATTAAGATTTAGCTTAAGTAACTGGTAGACCAGAGATTGAAAACAGCTATCTGGCCCCAAGGCCAGGTTGTAAAAGCAAAGTGGTATTTTTGGCAAGGACAGAGGGACTGTATGTGTATTCACCCATGGGTGTGTACTCAAACTCTTGGGAGTGGAGAGGGCCATGGCAGAACAGGATATGCAGTTGGAGAACGGGGTGGTGAGAGAGGTTTGGAAGTATGGGTTAGGCTGACTTGTGGAAGTCCTGGAATTTGAGATTGAGAGCAATTTATGTTTCTTACCTTTTCCACTTCTCCCATGTTCATATTAACAACTTGAGTTTGTTTAGATTCTGAGAATTTTGGCAGTTGAATTAACAGCAGAAAGGTTAAATGACAAAGGCATAGTAGGAGGGGTCAGCCGGACTGGCCTTTGATGGCCCCAGCTTCCTGTCCTCCCATTGTGACCTCAGTGAGAAGAGAGTCTACAACCTCAGGTTGTCTCAGTTTTTGATTTTGATTTGGGGGAGCACAAGAGTTTAATTTACATTTTAAACAGAATGTATAATTTCTCTTCCCATTTTTAAATCGAAAGAGTACGTAAAAAAGAGGGAGATGGCTTGGTAGCATATCGGGGGGATGCAGGAGTTGGATAATTCACCTCTTCACAGCCTCTTGCAGATCAGGAGAAGGCTGTGTTGCGTTGGCTTTAAAGACCCCGTCAGTGTTTATTAAATATAAATGTGAGTAATTACACACTTACACATACATACACCCATTCCAAATGCTTTCCTGAACCTCTTTTGTGATGGAACCTTTTTAAGATGGAAGGTATAGATTCTGTGCCTCCTTGTCATTTATTTATTATTATTATATTTTGCTTAAATTCTTTTATTGGTACATTTTAGGTATATGTTTACATTCATCATTGGGTGCTTGTAGCTGTACAAGATGTATCTTGGTTCTTATTTTTTCCCCATTACCTGTGCGCCCTTCACCCCCCCCATCCCTATTTACATAGACTTTGTTTCCATTTTTTTCTTTTTTCATAATTTTTCCTTTCCCCTTCCCCTCTCACTTCCTCTACCCCTTTAGACCTTTTCTTCCTATTTCAAATTGTGAATTATTCGTTTTAATCCTTATTTACACTTTCAGTTTCTCACACTAGAGAAACTATTTGGTATTTACACATGTGTGTCCTATTTATTTCACTTAAGAGTGTGGCCTCAATAGGCATCCATTTAGCTATAAATGTCTCTAGTTTCTCATTCTTTACGGTTGAGTAGTACTCCATTAAAAAAAAAAAACCCACATCTTCTTTATTCAGTTTCCAGTTGATGGGCACTTGGGCTGTTTCCAAGCTTTATTACAAACTGTGCTACCATAAGCATGGGTGCACATATATCACTGTAGTATGATTCTTTTAATTCTTTTGGGAAGATAACGAGCAGGGGGATAGCTGGGTCAAATGGGACCTCTAAGCCTAGTTCTCTGAGGTATCTCCATACTGATTTCCACAGTGGTTGCACCAGTCTGCACTCCCACCAACAATGGAGAAGGGTTCCTTTCTCACCCTTGTCATTTATCTTAATCATGGCTAGACTATTCAGATGCCAGCAGTGAACACGTGCCTATATCTGAGGTCTGTTTAGAACCTGAGGCCTTGGTTTGGCTTCACCCAATCACAAATACTTGTTCTTTAGATTATTCTAGATGGCTGTACCTGGCTGGCCACATCAGTACTTTGAATAGGTTCTTGTATAAATATGGGTGTTGCTCCTGCTGCCCCCATGGGAATGGTTCTGCTGCCTTAGGGCCCTTTGCTCTACAGGCCCCTCTGCCCTAGAGGCCCGTCCACTGCTGGATTCTCAGCAAGTTTTAAAAGTGAAAGTAAACCTTTCTAATTAGGAGCCTGGAAGCCAGTTTGCTTTCCAGATTCACTGTAGCAGCCCAGAGAGTCCATCCCAGTACAGACAACATTTGGGAACATCTGCTCTTTGGGTTTTTTGTGTATGATACATGCCCCAAATAAAATATTCCAGTGAAAGGTGACTTTTTTTTTCTCTATCAGAATGGTATAACTTGGAGAGTTACAATCTATTTTCAGGGTCACTTTTATACTAATATTTATGATACTATTGAAATTGGGCTGGGGATATATGTAGGTCAGTGATAGAGTGCTTGCCTGGTTAGTATACATGAAGCCCTAGCTTTGACCCCTACTGCTTGAAATTATTCATAAACTTTCACCTCCTATTGGTATAGTCTGATGTAAGCATACTTTATAAAAACATTTGACATGAGAAACTCAGAAACCCAAATTTATTTACAGTTTCATGTTCAGAATTCTAGGATGGGACACCTTCATCTGTCTTTTGTGTGTGCCTTTTTGGGTATGAAATTAGTAGAGCTAAATCCTGGGTGCACTGTTTGTTCTGGCCTCTTTCCTTGGGAGTGTGGTTTCTGCTTCTGTGGCCCACTTCAGCATTGCAGCGCCTGCAAGTAACTGAAGGCTTTTGCTGGGTTCTGGCCTGGAGGACTGGGAGCCTGCAGGACAGTTCTTTGATTTATCTGTTTGCTTAATGGGGGGAGGGGCAAAGATGCTGGTTTTGCTGTCTGTGCTATATAATTGACTACAAAATACATTTATTGTAAGAAATACTGAATATTGGGTGCTTTTCTATCATTTTCTTGCCAGGAGCTTGCATATTGTACCAGAAATTCAAGGGAAGGGAAAGTGAACACATTTCAGTTGAGATATGTCTTCTATTTGCATGGCTTGTTCTATTTGTTAACTTTATTTATATCTTTCTATTAAGTTCAAGTTCACTGCTGGCAGGATTTTATAGCTACTGAGATTTCCATTTTATCTTAGAATTCACACGAAAATTTCATGAACTTTAACATTTAGTTGAAAATTTCACTTGTCAGTCTTTGTTTCTGAGACAACAGTAGCAGCACATTATTATTTACAAGTTTCAAATTAATTAAGATATCAAAACATTTGTTTATCTTCACTTTTGAGCTTTTTAAAACAGACTTTCTGGTTTGGAAATAAATGACACCCAATTTTCTCTTTTATTTTAAAGACTTTCAGCTGAACTCTCATCTCTCAACACTGGCAAATATTCATAAGATCTACCACACCCTTAATAAGCTAGTAAGTCAATCTTTTTAAAGATAAACTGCCAACTGTTTGGTCATTTTGTGCAAGTGTATTTGATAAAAAAAATTAAAACGTAGAAACCAATTGCTTTTGAAAACACTGAATTTTAACTTGGTTGTCTAGTGTGTGATTCTTGGTAATAATAAAGGTATTTCTTACAGAATCTAACAGAAGACGTTGGCCAAGACGATCACCAAACAGGTATCTGTAAATGCTAACACTACTTAATTTTAAGTAAATGTAATATAAAATTATGAGACATACTAGCCACACATGCTTTACACTCCATTAACAGGATGTTACAGGATGTTGAGGACGTCCATCAGAGTGTAGTGAAGGCAGCCATGTTATAGCACTTTTCTAGAAGTAGGAAGTCTATTCTGGGACTCTGGTTATGCCAAAGCACTTTAATTCCTGGGATTCTCTAATGGTTTTAAGGTACCCCCATCCACCTTTTCTCTTTACAGAAGTAGTTTATACTAAAAAGGTGCTATAGTAATGCAATTTGAAAGGTATTCTATAAATGTTTGTAAAGTTGGGCTGAAAAAAGATTTGATAGGTAGATTATCATTTATGCATGTGCGTGTGTGTTTTATATAGATCCTGGGGATTTATGAGTGGGTACATTGAAACTTGATTATTATAAATTATTTTCTAGCCCTCTGGTTCTTAGTTTAGCCAGCCTTATAATCTTTTGCCAAGGGTTTGTTTAAAACGTAGACGTAGACTGCTGGGATCCACCTCCAGCGTTTCTGCTTTTCTAGATTTGGGGTGAGCACCCAGAGTTTGCATTTCTAACAGGCTCCTGAATGATGATGCAGTGGGTCTGGGGACCACATTTTGAATACTGTTTCTCTAAACTGTTAGCGATTATGAAGTTCATTTGATTTCTAAGTTATTAAGGTGCTAGCAAAAACTGTTCTAGTATGTTTTAAAATTTGAAAATTACTGCAATAATATATGAATCCATGCTTGCCTTAGTCTGTTCAGGCTACTGTAAACAAAACAAAACAAAACACCTTAGCCTGGGTAATTTATAAACAACAGAAATTCCTGCCTCACAGTTCTTGGGGCTGGGGAGTCTAAGATGAGGGTACATCTTTTTGCAGTGTCCTCACATAGTGGGAGGAGGAGGCAGCTCCTTAAGCTTCATTTAGAAGGGTGCTAACTGTGGTCATGAAGGCTCTACCGTCCTGACCTAAAGACTCCCAAAGGCCCCACCTCTTTGTACCAAAACATAGGGACTAGAATTCATCATGAGGATTTTGGCGCGGTACAAACATTTGGGCCATAGCAGTGCTTGTTGGAGACTTTTAAAAAGCACAGAGCTAATGGAGTGGACAGTGGTGGTCCTCCTCATGTTTCACTGTCCTACTCCTTTCTCCCAGCGCATTATTTGGTATTGACAATTTCAGACATTTTTATGCGTAGGTATGTTTGTTATGTGCTTGTTTTTTTAACTTAGCATTCATTTCTTCATTCTGAAATATATTGGTGGGCTGTAAGGGTGTTTTAAACTTAGTTTTAATTTTTAAAACTCAATTTTGTTTTTGTGATACTTTAGTTTGTCATTCTTTAAATTATGGTAATCTTCTCAATTCTGAATCCTGTACATTATGTAGTTAGTTCTGAAGTTTTGATTTAAATGATTAATTTTACTGTAGTAAATTTCACATCTAAATGTTTAACCTGAAATGTGACATTTTTAATAACTAAATTGTAAAGAATATGAAAGAAAAAAGTACATTTGGCTTTAGGCGGATTGTTTGGTTTTTGGAGTTAGCATCTATGTCTGATGTTTGGTCTGTGACACGCTGGCCCTGTATCTCATAAATGTTCAGCCGGTGTCAGTTAGTGTTAATCTTTGCTTAGAGTTGTCTACTTCATTAATATTTTGCCTCCAATAGCATAACTTGTTACTCCCATACAATGTAAAACTTTTGCTCTTTGGAAATCAGAGCAAGGTAGCCCAACAGGTGTTTCAGCAGCATCTAGAATTATTGCAAGTGGAAGAGCCAAACCCACTCTGGAATTTGTTTGGAAATAGTAGTTAATTTTACAGAAGTAGCCCAAAGTAGAGGTGATGAATTGAAAATGTCAGACAGAGAGAACAACAACAAAAAGTGTAAGGAAGATGATAGATGTCAGAAGTTTAACATTATTTAGGGGGAAAGGAAAAGAGATTTCTTTTGTCTTAAATAGTGGGATAAAAATTTGTGCATTTAGATAGTATTTTTCACTCAAGCAAGCATTTCAGTGAGTGATCTGTTCAAGAAAATGAAATAAGTTATTAGGTACTGGCAAGATGTCTTAAACGCAGCCTATTTATCAACTTAAATTATTTAAATCTTTCTGACATTGTCCAGGGAGGAATGAGTTGAAGTAGCTATATAAAAATACTAAAGTGGCAGAATGAGCCATGTAAATTGTTATTAAGTGAAACACGGCTATGGTATAGTAAGCTCACTGAAATGAAAAATTAGACAATTAAGATTTTTATATTGGAACATGCATTTGCTCTAAGTCTGGAAAAGTGAGAAACACTTTCTAATTCTGTAAACCTCTAGTTTTGGGATGATTGGAAATTGGGCACCCGTTGATGTGTCTTATGGGAAATTAATTCTGACAGGGACTCATTTTACTGAGGCCAATAAAGCAAAATGACAAGTATATATGTACTTACACGTATTCTTTTAAATGTATATTTTATAAATATATAGAGGAGGTGGGCACCTACCCAGGCATCATTTAAGAGTAACACATTTTGAAGGGGATGTGGTGGTTCGTGCCTGTAATCCTGGCACTTGAGAGGCTGAGCAGGAGGATCACTTGAGTTTAAGGCCAGCCTGCACTACATATGAGACCTTGTCTCAAAAAAAAGCAAATAAACAAAAAACAGGAAACAGGTAACACATTTAGAGCCGGGCTTGTTAGTGCATGCCTATAATCCCAGCACTGGTGAGGCCGGGCTTGTTAGTGCATGCCTATAATCCCAGCACTGGGGAGGCTGAGGCAGGAGGATCACCATAAGTTCAGTGCCAGCTTGGGGTCTACATAGCAAGAACCACCTCACAGACCCCCCCCCCCGGGTAAAATGTTTAGTTAAATTAATATCAAAACAACAGACCGGCTGGACATTGAAGGGCCTTAGATCTGTTCTAGGTGAACTCAAGTTGCCCTTTAAACTCTATTTTCTTGGATATTTTTTAAGTACTAGGACTGACCTCTTGTACAGTTTTGGCAGTATTTATAGTTCTTTAATGTGGGAAGAAAGACAGATATTTATTGACTGGTTTATTTGAAAATATGGTCAATTAAAAAGATTTGTTCTCTCGAAATGATGAAATAGAATGAAATTAACCTGAATTCAAATCATAACCCTCGAGTACTGCTTCCTATAGAGCCAACACCATACTAAGAGCTTCTGGTGAAGGGTGGATGGATTGAGTTGCATCATCCATTCCATGTAGAAGTTTTAGAAACCCCTGTTTGGTGAAGATAGTAACTTCAGAAGTAGTTTGTGTTAGGGACGTAGCTCAGCTGTAGACTGTTTCCTCCATTGCAGGAGGCTACCTGGCTTAATCCCCAGTACTGGGGGGGAAAAAGTCCTTTCTAATCATTGTTAATGTAGCAAAACATCAGTCTGGATATTTTGCCTCTACCTATATCACATAATTTGTAGCCCATTCTCTGAATGAAACAAATATTTCATAATATTCTCGCTTGTATTTGCTTCCTATTTTTTTATAGTTTAAAGATACCGGATATAGTTTAAATTTTTTGAGATAGGATCTTGTTTATGTAATTGAAATAGATTAAGTGATAGAAGTCTGAATCAGTGGAGTCAAAATTTAATGATACAAATAAATTTGTAAACATTTGTTTAGATTTCAATATTTTTATTATTAAAAAAACTTGCCATTGAATTTTTTAAAGAAGCAAACATCCTTATATTTATTTTTTTAAAAAAATTCTGCCTGGCAGGAAACTTACAGTCAAGGGTTTGTTTTGCTGACAGATGGGATAAAAAGTCAAAAATGATGTTGTATTATCTAGTCACAGATATTTCAAGTTCTGGAAATGTACTCTGATTTTTAAGCAGAATTTGATTTATGCATGTTTTAGGAATGCATTTATACAAGTATTTATTGCAAGTCTACTGAATGGCTCAGTAATGTAAATATCTTTTTACTATAAGATACTGTATTAAGCTGCTGTGTGCACAAGTGAAATGAACAGGATACTGCAAACCAAGATACTACAAACCTTTACATGTACACTTAAAAAATCTTAGTTGTTCTTGCTCAGTTAGGATTGATTGATAAGTGAGGGAAGGGAGCAGTTTGGGGCAAGTAGCCTTAGTTAGGTGCTCTGTGTTTATTGATTTAGTTCATATTGGCAAGTCATTAAGTAAACATCTTTTCCTTCACATTAAAGCGTAGTTTTTTCAGTAGTGAAACTTTTCCTGTCAGCTTGGGTCCTAGAGTGGTTGTATTTGGAAGAGCAGAGCTGTGTGGCCCTTGGACACTTGGTTCCCTGGAACTGAGTGCCTCATCCTTCCTGTGAGGTGCTGGCCGCAAGCCTGGCGTGTCAAGAATGCTGAACTGTGGTGGACATCGGGGAGGCTGAATAGTGAATAGACTTGGCATTTTGGTGAGAACTGGCTCTGTAACAGTCACTTAGTTTAAAAGAGAATCATGTCTCAGCTGAGAGATAAAAGTTTTGAATAAATGAAAGAATAAGTAGCCAAATTTGGGATGTTTCAAAAATGAGTTAGATTTTACACAGATGCAAGAAAAAATGATTTGTGAAACTTTAAACAGAAAGCATTAAGGAAAAAAAATGTTGCTTAACTTACGATGTTTGTTGGTTCACCAAAAACATGCTGTGCTTGACAAGTGGGATTCAGAGAAAGCCAGACATTAAACCAGTGTTTATGGAGACACAGATGGTAGAGAAGCTAGTATTAAGTTTTACTGGAGAAGACATTATTTTAAAGTGTTCATTTCCTATGGACTGAGGAGATAAGTGCATTTTCCTCTGTTCTGCAGATACTTGCAGATGGGGACAGGCTACTGCTAGGCCAGATGCTCAGAGACCATGACTGCGCTTGGAAGAAAATGCCTTTCTTTCACAAATAACGCATCCAGGGAGGAAGAGGGAGAAGCACACTCCAGGTGTTACACATCCTCTGCATTTCCCGACAGTATCACAGATTTCACAACTAGGCGGGGCATACTTATTCATTCTGCAAGCCCCGTCTGATGTCTTAGTAGACAAGGATAAATCCCGTTCCTCTATGTTGGCAGCCTGCAAAAGCCTGGGTCACTCCAGATCTTTGGATCTCTTCATATGTTTTAGTTTTGTTTATAAATAAGACACTGTAGGGAAGATGAGTGGGGCGTGTAGGTGTGGACGGCTCTTTCTCTGACACTTCGAATTCTCACTGCTTTGCCGGGGAGGTTGTTTGCTTGGTTTTTGAGACAGGATCTCATTTATGTAATTCAGGCTGGTCTTTAACTCACAATCTAGCTTAGGCTGGCCTCAGATTTACAGCAATTCTCCTGCCTCAGCCTCCCAAGTGCTGGGATTACAGGGGTGTACCACTACGCTCGGCTTCCCTGCTTTTGTAGTGAGAGGCACGAAAGGCTGCTTTGTATCTCTGATGAACCCTTTACTTCCCAGCCTTGGAAGGACAGGTCTAGATGGGCTCCTGGAAATGTGGCTGGACATCACCTGTTTGACTGCTTGTATTTGGGCTGAGGGGACAAGCTGTGTGAGCACAGGTCTTGTCCACTGTAACCTTAGGGTTGGAGCCTCATTTGGCCAATCACTTGAGCTCCTTTCAGAAGGAATACTTTTGCCTGGTATTTCCCCAAAGCATATCACCCTGGGAACTTGTCATGATGGCAGAAGTCTAGAACCTAGGTTTCAGGTCCCAAGCCTGATCTTTGAACAGGGTTGTGGCTTCAGTTGTTGACCAGTTTTCCCTTGCCTTCAGAGCTAGTGTCTTGACAAGAGCTGTTTATAGTCACTGTGTCTACCCATCCACACTGTTTGCTAAATGCTCTGTGAGCCTTCCTTTCCTGATGGACCTGTGTGTGGTGGAACTGAGAGGACAGCCTGGCTTTTCTCTGTCGAGGTTATCACCTTTTCCAGCCCCTTGAATATCCATTCCCCAGGGGTCTCTCCTCAGTTCTCTGCTTCCAGAGTCTGTTTTCATGACCTCACAATGGTGGCAGTGGACAAAGCTGAGAGCTGGCATTGCTGCTGGGATGCATGTACCTAAACCCAGTGGTTAGCGCCAAGCATTTACTGAACGGATGTTTTTCTTTCTGAAAATGCTGATAGATATCATCATTCCCATCCCTCAAATGATGAACAAGAGAGCCAGAATAGGTTAGTAGTTGCCTAGATCACAGTTAGCTGGAGTTGGAGCTCGCTCATTGTGTGTATGTATTAGTAGAGGTTTCAGTCCATAGTCAACTGGCTTCAAGACAGGGATGACAAACAGGCATGGCAGAGGAGAAACAACATGGCAGCCACATAGTAGCAAAGGTAACAAGAGGGGCTTACCAGTGTCTTCCTCCCTCTTTTATTCAGCCTGCTTAGGGTGGGTAGCGCTCACACCCTTAATCCCAGTGCCTTCAGGCCTAGCCCTACCTCGAGTCCATCACACACTCTAGATTCAACCACCTCTGGAAGAGCATGAGGCTTTGGGGGGACATCTAAACACAAGCCGTAACAGTGTAGGTCACTGAACCCTAGCACCTTCACATGCTGTCCTGTCCACACTGCTCACGGAGAGTCCAGGGCCTTCAGCCAAGGGCTAAAGGAAAGAGGAAAGATGTGTGGCCTAGAATTCATCCAAAGGGTGTGGGTTTAGAAAGTCACCTAAATGCCTCATCCTTGGTTTTCCTGTCTGTTACAGATAATTATCTTTGCCCTACCTGTCATTCAGGGTTATTGTGGGAACTAAATGACAGTTCTGATAGCACTTATGCCAAAGTGAGATGTTTAATTGTCTTGTAAATTATAATGGTTTAAGACAGTCTGAAGCAAGGCTGCCTGGGTTTGAATCCCAGTTTTGCCATTTACCTAACTTCTTTCTGCTTCATTTTCTTGCCTATCTGAGACAACAGTGATTTTTTTTTTTCTTCATAGATTTGTTATGAGCCTTTAGCTTAGTTAATACACGCAGGTGTTAAGAACAGGGCCTGGCTCAATAGTTCTCAGTAAGTGTTTGATGTTGTCATTATTGTCTTTTGTTAAATTTTAACACCTTTTAACAAATGGAAGTTATGCTTCCTGACTATAATCCTGGACTAAGAGAGGCAGAGTTCTTCCAGAAGCAGAAACAACAAAGGCTATTGGAGAAACTTTGTTCATGTTCAAGTCAGACTTCTACATCCAAGAAATCCAAGTCCTGCTTTTTTGTTTTTTGTTCTATTTAGAGCCTGTGTTAGGACTGATGTGCTTGTGTGTATTTGAGTCAAGGTTACTGGTTGAGGTGGCCTTGCCTCATGAAGTGCATAAATATGATGGTAGGACAGTTAGGCATGAAGGAACACTGTCGTGTAGGAGAAGCAGAAAGTTCAGGTGATTTCCGTTAGACTTTTGGAGCCTAAATAGAAATTTCATTCATTTCTTTTTCTAGTGTGATTTGGGGTGGTGGGGAGAATTTCCTTGCTTGTGTCATTGCTAGGTTCATTTCATGACTATTTTCTCAAAGAGGAACTGAAAACCATTTTCTCTCTTTATAGCATTTTCTGACAACAGCTAAGCCCTTTGTAGTACAAGGCATGGATGTTTCTAATTCATCAGTATTACTGCTTGAGAGAGTTACCATGCGGCATGCTTTAATTTTGTGCTCTCTGAATTTGTTCTGTAGGAAGCCTGCGATCTTGCAGTTCTTCAGACTGCTTTAGTAAAGTGATGCCCCCAAGGAAAAAGAGAAGACCTGCCTCTGGAGATGACTTATCTGCCAAGAAGAGTAGACATGATAGGTATGTTGCTGAAGCTGCAAATCGATGACATGCGTGTTGAAAATACATATGTCCATTCAATGTAGGCTAAGTCATCTTAGTATTCAGATGCCAGCTGGAACATTGTTTTGGTTGGTTCTTCCAGTTGACCTTTCAAATTGTAATTATTTAGTGGTGCTTATTTTATGTCTGGGTTTATAAAACCTGAAAACAAAATAGGTAATTTGAGTTCTTAAAAATCAGTTTTATTGTAATCTACTCACTCATCCACCAAAACTAGGGTACCATTAGTTTTTCCTTTGAAAGCCTCTGTGCCTGTTGAAGACCACAGAATTGGTGTCTATTCTTTCAGAGGGTCTCCTTCACTATTGTTGCCACAGGGCTGGAGCACTGCACCTGTGCCAAGTATATCTCTGTGGAATGTTAGCCATGTTGGGGTTTATTCTCAGATGGGCGAGAATTTGATAAAAGTTTCAAAAAACAAAACCGTTAAACCACTTCCCTTTCAGATAATTGAACTGTTAATTTTGTTAACTCCAAAGGACTGTATGTTTATTTTAGGCATCTTTATTATTTCACCTCTCTCCCTCCTACCTCTCTCTCCTTTTTTCCTCCTCTTTTTTTTTTTTTGGTACCAGGGATTGAACTCGGATCCTTGTGATTGCGAGGCAGGTGGCGGAACCACTGAGCTAAATCCCTGGCCCTTTTCCTCCTTTTTTGAGATGAAGTCTTGCTATATCCTGGACTTAAAGAATTCCTCCTGCCTCAGCCTCCTAAGTAGTGGGACTATAGACATATACTATCATGACAGGTTCTTTTTAAAAAAAAAAACCCAAGGAAAACATAGTCTAATCTTCTCTGCCTTTCCATCTTTCCCCATTCTGGCTCTGTGAGTCAGTTTACTAATGGGTTGGGATTTCCACATCTATAAATCAAGGGGATTTAGATGAAAACTGTTCCTTGGTGATAGTTCATTTCTACAACTCAGTTGGAGGGATAGAGAGACAAACTCTGAAAATGTGAAAATAATGCCACCCTTTGTATCTCAAGCTATTTAAAAGATAATCAATCACCAGCAGTTTGTGGGCTAGTGATTTTCAGTTTTACAGAGCCATGTTTTTTTTTTTGTTTTGTTTTTTTGGGTTTTTTTTTTGAGCCATGTTATTTGATCTTTTCAGTGTGGATGTTACTGTTGGGGAATTGTAAATTGTAAAAATCATATGGCATTTTGTTCCTATTTAGCACTTTTTTTTTAACCACAATCTTTAAAAACTGGGAGCTGAATTGTAGTTTCTGACTTTTTTCTTGGGCTTGATCTCTTTTTGTAAAACAACTTTATTTACATACCATAAAGATACTTTTAAAGTATACAATTTAGTGTTTTTTTTTAAGTTAACCAAGACTTTCAAACCATCACTTCAAACTAGTTTTAGAACATTTCCATCAGCCCAGTCTCATGCCTGATGTCAGTTAATCTTGGTTACCACTCACAACCCCAGGCAGCCTGAGTCCATACTTTATCACTAAAGATTTCCTTTTATGAACATTTTATATATAAATGGTCTTTTGTGTTTTGCTACTTTCATTTAGCATAATGTCTTTGAGGCTCACCTGTATAATAGCATGTATCAGTATTATATGTCTTTTTTTGCTCAGTGGTATTCCATTGTATGGTTTTGGTCCATTTTTAACGTAGAATATTTTTCAGTGAAACATGTATTAAAAATACAGCATCATACAAAGGCCTCCAGGATATTGACTAATTATAGGCTTTGAGCTAATATAGGAATGTCTAGGCCTAGCATTAAAGCATAACTGAATGTTTGGCCAGTATCCAGTTTTTATTTTCAGGTAGTATGTCTACCACTTATAAAAGAAATATGAAACGTGTGATTTGCAGTTTCAGTAACAACACCCTATAACCACGTTCTTTTTTTTTTTTTTTTTTTTGGTACCGGGGATCGAACTCGGGTCAGCCATGTTCTTTTTTTGATGATAAACCCCAGACTCTCTAATCAGGTGTATGTATAATCTAGTGATTATCTAGATCATGAATAAATGTTCACTAAGAAAAAATTATACGGTATATGATTTTTTATATTATACATTATGTAAATAAAAGCATGTTTATGGACAGAAGTAATTTATATATAAATAATGGTTTAAAATGTGTATACTCATAATATTAATATCCAAGTCATGGTTTTAAAGCTACTGCTGTTTTTCCCCTCTCTGTGTGGGGAAGCTGTCATCCTCAGCCCTGGGTATGAGCTCAGGGGCTTCTGCTGAATTGCAGGAGGAAGCTGCTGATGGCTGTCCAGATTAGGCTGGCTCCTCCACAGCGCTGGAGTTGTATGAAGGCAGCAGGAGCCAGGCTTCTCTCTACTTTGTCCTTAGGCGTAGAGGGTTACAGCAATCAGGGAGCCATCCGAGGGACTTTGTCTTGTCAGCCTTTACACCTGCATTTTTTTCCAAGAAGCTTGGACATGAATTGATGTTTCTTTTTATTTGCTTAATGTTCTCTGTGTTGCCTGTGATTGACAGGTGGTTCTTTAGGCAGTGCTTTGTGCTCAATCTGACAGTAGAAAGCACCTGAGACTTTCTTACTTCATTCTGTATTTAATTCTGGCTGATGAGGGGTAGAAAGTATATCAAGTAACTTCTATTTAATTCTGTATGTTTTTTTAACAGCAAAAAACTTGTATTAAGTGCTTACTGTTTAATTCTAAATTAAGGTATGACTATTCCAATAATAGTTATATAAGGTTAAGGTGGAAAATGCAGGAAGTAAAAGGTTTATATTTACAATACTGATTAGATAGATGGCTGCTTAGGTAAAAGATTAAAAACTATCTGCCACTTTGAAGAACTCAGTATCCTCAAATAACTTAAAACTGCTTTTTCAATTTTTAGCATGTATCGAAAATACGATTCGACTAGAATTAAGACTGAAGAAGAGGCCTTCTCAAGTAAGCGGTGCTTAGAGTGGTTCTATGAATATGCAGGTAGGTAATCATTTACAGCATGTAAGACTGATCCTGGGAAGAATAAGAAGTACCTTAAGCTGGGCAAGGTGGTGCATGCTTAGAATCCCAGCACTCTGGGAGGCTAAGGCAGGAGGATCATAAATTCAGGCCCAGCCTAGGCAACTTAATGGGACCCTGTCTCAAAATAGAAAATTACAAAAGGCTAGGAATATAGCTCAGTGGGAAGACTTCCCCAGCACCAAAGATCAGTCAGTCAGTCCATCTATCCATTCTTCATGGAGGTGAAAGAATGTAAAATTGTGTACTTTCAGATTTAGCGCATATATGTATGTGTTTGGTGTGTGCTTATACCTCTGTAGGGGGAGAAAAGCAGAAGAATTGAAACGAATCACTAAATGTTCTATTTATAGCCAGTAGCTAAGCCAAAGAATTCAGAACATTAGAAGGGAACTGAAAAGATGAAACACACTTGGGAGAAATACTCTGGATTGCTAGGAAACCTATTTAGATCACTGATAATGGGTAATTATTTGGTTTAAGCACTGAAGTTAAAATAAGCTTTGCTGGTTTTGAACCCTCATGTAATGCAGTGGAATTTCTTTATTATCAAGTGTCTATTTTATTTTTTTAACATTTGGCAGAAAATGTTTGTCACTTAAAATGTCCTAAATTCAGGTTCATTTTTGCACCTTATAATTAGTTGGATAATATAATATTGCAGTCTAGGGCTTGTTTGTTGTGACTCTAAATGCTGTAAAAAAGAGAAAAAGAAAAATTTTTAGGTAAAGCTTGAGCTATAGGCTCTTTGCCCTTTCTTCTTCCTCAGTTTATTTCAGGCCCTTTCAAGGCCTATCAATTTGACTGTTCTAGCAACTTGCAAATTGGTGTTCTTTTTTTTTTTTTTTTTTGTCATTAGTCTCTGTTCTAAATCAGGTTCCATGTGTCTCTTATTGTTTTTGGGGGGAGAAAAAAAAGAGTACACAGATCAGACATGTCATCTAATGATATCCCCACTTCTGCCTCTGCTTAAAAACCCCTGCTACATATGGGATAAATGGTAACTCACTGTCCCTTTCTTGGGATGCTTTTCTCTGTGTTTCCATCTGATAACTGTTTAGTTCAGATTTATTGATCAGTGAAAAACCTGTATTAAATGCTAACCATTTAATTCTATATATATATATACACATATATATATATATATTTTTTGATACTGGGCATCGAACTCGGGTCCTCACGCTTGTGTAGCAGGCAGCAAAACCACTGAGCTAAGTCCCTGGCAATTTAATTCTGTATTAAAGTATGACTGTACTTATGATTGCATAGCTTAAGCCCCTTAATTAGCTTAATAGCCTTTCTTGTACTCCTTTACGACTTTGTGCATAACTTGTTTTGGTCCCTTCTTATTGAGTATCAAGATGAGGATTTACTCCTGAGGCTTGATCAGGTCATTTCCCCCCATCCTCACTCCACCCTTTTTCTGATAAGAGCCTTGCATGGAAGATATTGGTCCAGGGAAACCAAAGTTTTTTTGGAGATTTTCAGATTGAAACTGAGAGAAGAGCATCTTTCTTTTCTGGTGGATTTGAAAGAATACAATCCTGATTTCTTTAGTTTTTCTTTGGACTTACAGATTTTTGTGAGATAATTCCAGTATTTTTCTACTGAATTCTCATTAGTTTCAACTAGATTTTGTTCAAAGGATGTAGTCACTAGTACAGACACTTACATGGTATTGGAATTTATCTGTTTTCATGTTTACTTTATCAGAACATGAATCTCTTGAAGGCATCTTGTAATCCTAGTAAAAGTGGTTGACACTTTGCCAAGGACTCAGGAAATGGGTGGTGAAAATGAAAAAATGTTTCCTTATTCCTATTACTTTGATAAGATCTTTTGCTTTCCTATATTAACACTTAACACTTATTTTATGAAAATGTACTATAAAGGAAATTTTAAAGAGAACACCACCAAAGTAGCACAGCTATTTTGACTTTTTTGTATGTGTATTCTGTAATAAGCAAATGTAAACATCTTTTTTAAAAAAAAGAGAGCAGGGTAGAATTTTCTTTTGTTTGCTTTTTTTTTTTTTTTTTCCTGCAGAAAGGTCACATTTTAGAATAAAAGTTAAGCCACATTATTTCAGTTCCTTGGAGGTCCCTGCTGGGTAATTGCTTGTAATTCATCCCTATGAGAAGTTCGTGTAGATGTGCCCATCCCTCCTTACCTCTTTAATCCCTTTCCTTCTTTTGCTGCTTTTTGTGTATCATAAGGTAACAGTAGGGAGTTGGGAGTTACCGAAAGCCCCAATTGGCCCTGCTTTTACTTTGAATATGCCACTCCATGAGTTGGAAGTGTAGACCAGTATTATTTGAGACAGGCAAGCTGGGAGAAGAAGCAGGATGACTGACAGGGTGTGCTGTGAGCTGCATCTGTGGGTGTAGGCTGTGAGGCCACGTGAAGAAGGGCTGAGCCCCATGTCTGGGCCTTTCTCCTTAGGAGCGAGCCAGCTGGTCTGAGCTGAGGATGAGCGCAGACTCCTTGCCTTCTAAGCTGGAGTGAAACGAATACGGCAGTGATAGGAACTGGAGTGAATGCAGTTGTTTCACCTGACCGGACCTTAGTTCCTTCCAGAGCTCTCACTCAGCGCTGCTTCTCATGCTGCCCTCTGCTGTGGTGCCCCATGAGCCAAGCTCATTCCAGCCTCTGGCTAATCTCAGTCCTCCTCTGTACATTCTAAGATGTAGCTTCTCACTTTTTAAAAATCCCTTTTAACTCAGTTACTGATTCCCAAATTTGATATAAGCCCCTCCTCCTGGGCCTCTTCCTGTTCTCTGGTTGTAGGTTTCCTCCCTTTTTCACTGTGGTACTTCAGTTCTCTGTGAGTTGAGGTAGAATTGATTGAGGTGGTACAGAGTGTATCATCTAGATAGCTATCTGAAACTGGGACTCAAATTTTTCATTGGAATGAAAATAAACAGTTTTACATAAATAATTTACCAAATAACTTCTACTTTCTGAGCTATATGTAAGAATAAATTAAGCCAAATACCCAGGTGCCAGCATTGATTTTACAGTCACACTAAAGCTCACAATGGATATATCATATTGGGAGGGCATCTTAGTTCTGCAAGTCCTAGCTGTAGTTCCTTAGTCTCTCTTTTGGGTTACTTTCTTTAGCAGCATTGTCTTTGGGTTTATGAAATGAGAGTAGGGACCAGGAATGGGTGCTAAAGTTAAGCACAGGAAGTAGCAGGAAGTATGAAAATTGCCTAACAGTGAAGGAAGAGATGTCAAAAACTACTGAGGCCCCTTTGCCTGTGATTGCTTTTTGTTTTTTTGAAACAGTCTTGGTATGTAGTTCCGGTTAGCCTTGAACTCACTATGTAGCCAAGGCTGGCCTCGAACTCACAGCATTGCTCCTGCCTCAGTGAGAGTATAGGTGTGTGGCACCACACCTGGTCATTTTTAAAAAATAGATTTTGTTAGTATATTTGCCTTTCCAAATGTACCTTCAGTTTCTTGTCACCCACTGTGCTTCATAGCTTATGAATTTTTATTTGTTTTTAACCATCTCTCTCAAACCCTACTTACAGACCACTTTGTGTTAGTCAATAGCATATTCATTAACTTGCTTGACAAAGATAATTACCTTAATTGTATGTAGGAATTGATGAATATGCTATAAAATATAGCCATGGTCCCAGTGAACAGTAAGTTTACAGCTAGACTTAAAATGTGTACATAGGAAAGATAATGAGAAAAAAAGTCTTAGATGGCAGGATTGTGGGTAGATTTTAAATAATGCTTATTGGCAATCTGTATTTTAATGTTTAGAATAAAATGTACTTTTGGCAGTCAAACATGACCCAAACTCTGGAATCATGTGCATTTGTAATAACAGATACATGTTCATAAGAAATACAAAGATAACTGCATAAAATTTGGAAAAAGAAAAGGCAATAATAACTTACATTACCACTGCAGAATGTACTTCAGCAAACCTATCTTCAAGGGTTACCATGTGGCTGTGCTCAAGTTCATTTCGCAGTGTAGCAAATTGGCTAGAAAGTGAAGAAGCATTACCACTGTAAATGGATGTGGGTGGAAAGAATAGGCAATAGCCAGGTTGGAGGTTACCAGAAGGGGACAGCACGCTGGGAGACAGGCAAGCCAGGTGAACGATATAGGTGAGGGAGTGGTGATGGTGTTAAGTTCAAGAGTAAATTCCAATTGGAAGAGCTTGAGGAATTTTTAAAAATGTTGAGTAACTTTTCCCCCCAAGCTCTATGCATCCATTTCCCAATGGGATCAGTAGATACCAAAAAGAAAAAAGAAAAAAGAAAAGAAATCTATTCCTAAAAGCAAAACCTCTTAGCAAAATGGGAATAGATGGGTGCTTCCTTATCAGAGTGATCTTTAGTTGCCAAGACTCAGGATTTTCCACTGGTGAAATGGTATGGAAAACTCAAGTACAGTCAATACAGATACACATGCACATGTAATGGAGTAATGTAAAAAGTATCAGCTAACAAGAATAAAGCAGATGTGTGAGTACTGTCACGGGAAGAATACCTGGTACAGCGACAAAAGCAAGGGGTAAAATTGTAGGCACAGCATGAACCCTTGTGTGTGAAAGATAAACATTTAAAAACTGCTCTTTACTATGTATTTTCCTAGACATAAACACATAGCAAAAAAGTCTTGGAGGATACACGCCTAACTGGTAAAGGAAGGGAGAAGTGGCTTTCTTTTTTGCTCTGTTTATTTCACTTTGTATGTATCTTTCTATTTTATTCTGTATCTTTTTTATTGTGAATTCAGTGGAATGTGAATGGATTAATGTGTAGTGTGTGTAATATGTGCACTCTCAAACCCAAAGATGACGGTGTATCAAATGATAAAATGCTAAGTGATTCCATTTGACTCAAGAATGAGACTCGAGAGTTGCACTGGTCTTACTTGCCACTGTTGTAGAAGTTACCAGTGCTATTAGAGAAGAAGCAAGGAACATAAAT